AATTCAGTACTTTATCATACCAAAAAGTACAACTTAATTTAGACAACCTAATTACGGCTAACTTAATTCTACAAAGCCAACATATATTTTCCGACTTCCGACCAAGTAATACTACTATGTGCACATTCTTACTTTTCACTTTAATTTTTAATCTCTATTGAGATAACATATGCTAATTTGCTAAAATAGAAAAAGGATAGTCGTACATTTTTTTTTTTTTTCATTTTTGTCCATTGTGACAATGTTGAAGACTTAAAATTAAATTACACTCTATCTAAAATACTATGGCAGTGTTTGGTAAATAGCTATTAACTGAATGGTTAGTGGGTTTGACAAGTTGATATCATTAGCTAATTGTAGACAAGTGTTTGGTAATCAGTTGTTAACTGATAGCTGATTATATATTATCCAAAATGACTTTCTTAAAAAACTGATAAAAAAAATTACTTTAAACATTTTTTTGAATTTTAACATTTTGGAGCAATAAGTTTTTACAAAAAGCTAATTAATCAAACACACTCATATTATACACAAATATGATTCGGCTTCCATAGGATTTTAATTAAATATAATATACAATCAGGGGCGGACCTAGAATAGGGGCAGCTGCCCCCATTCACCCCACCCCCACCCCATATATAACCCTTGTGTGTGTGTGTGTGTGTGTATATATATATATAGTACACAGTTTCAGTATAAGTAAAAGAAAACAACAAAAGTTAACAAAAAATGAGTCAGCCTAAATGGTAAACCATGTGTGTTTGCTTAAGGAAAGGTGTGGGTTCAAATCCTATGTAAAGTTTAGTATAACTTGAACCTAGTTTTTATGGCTATGTGAGATGTGAGATTTTCTCACACACACACATATATATATACTAGTATTTGTCCCGTGTGATGCACAGACAAAAATTTATAAGTATTGTTGTAATGTTATGATACAAAGTAGAATTAGTTTTATTAAAACTGTAAGTATAGTTATACAATGTTTTGCAATAATCATCATTTATAAGTATTGTTGTAATGTTATGATACAAAGTAGAATTAGTTTTATTAAAACTGTAAGTATAGTTATACAATGTTTTGCAATAATCATCTTACAAAGTTAAACGGACAAAGAAATACCCAGACTACCTCGCGGTTTGCACAAGAAAAATAATAGTAATGATCTTTCAAATCTATTAATATGCATTCACACTTAGACGGAAAAATTTTTTCCTACTTGATTTTACTTTACCTAACTTTCTTTGTAAATTATTAAAAAACTAATCAAAATTACAAACTATTAAAAAGTTAGTATATATATATATATATATATATATATATATATATATATATATATATATATATATATATATATATATATATATATATATATATATATTAATAATGAAATGCGTAATTTATAATGTGTTTTCTATTAGAATTATTTTATCAAATTAATTATGTTTCATATTCTGTTATAAGTATTTTAATTTATAAAGTTTTGATATGTTATATTTTTTTCTCATATCTAACAATATTTATGGCTAACTTCTTAAGTGTTTTTTTTTAAGTTATCCCTTTTGTTTTAATGTTTCGCAGAAGGTCTGATGCTTAACATTTTGTTATAAACTTATAGACATTTTTTTATTATTTGAACTTCGCTCCCACTCAACCATTTTTTCTGGATCCGCCCCTGTATACAATTAAATTAACTGTTATATGAAGATTTTAATAAAATGATAATTAAAGAATATGAAAAATATATAGTAGATGCAGGTGTATAATTATAGTGAAGGCGTCATCTATATTAGAATTTATTATTATTAAATAGTAACAGGATTATAACAGTGTAGATAGTTTTGTCTAACGAAAGTCTAATAAGGACAAATTATCTAATAAAAATGAATTGTATACCATTTAAAGTACAATATATGCATTTATTAGCACACAATAAATGGACAAAAAATCAAGAATATTATATGAATTGACACATATAATGTTTTTAAATAGAGTAATGCATCTCCGTAAAATTTTCTCATCCTATCATTCCCTTCGATCCCAACAGGCACTATTTCATTGAATGGCTTAATATTTGATAACAAGTTAATATGATCAATCAATTCTGTCATTTAATGATTAAACACTACGTCAAGAGAAATTTTATGATGATAAATTTTAAGAGGAACAATGCTTTTTTCTTTTTTCTTTTTTAGATAAAGTAATACTACTACACACCCTCCTAAAATTTCTTTCATTATTTTCTCCTCTTAACGAAACATTATTTAAATGGTTACATTAATTAGTATTTAATAAAAAAAAATGTATGGTCGGTCAATCATAAAACTAATGATTATAAGTCACATAATGAAAACAATATTATGGGAAAAACTCAGAGAAATAGCATTTTCCTTTTAGACATTACATATGAAACATATAATGTAAACTTACTAAGCTAAAGAGCAACCACAATAGTGATTTTTGCTCAGTTTTTAAAGAGATATTGGCTTAAACGTAAGGAGAGAGAATTGAAGGATTGGGATTTTCCTACAAGACCTGGTTTTAATCTCTTAAGTGAGCTCCACCAAATATGAAAGTTGGTCACGTGATGCACAACAACAACACTCAATCAGACATGTTAATCTGACGATTATTTTTCAGATTTTATTTTGCTTTTTTTTTTTCTTCTTTATCTCTTCTCTCTCCTCTTATCTTTCATAATCACATTTTCAAAAACTTTTAAATATACAATACGGTTATATGTATGATTCTTTTACAAATTGTTGTGTAATTAATTGGAAAAGAAAAAGTAAATAAGAGTATTAATCACAGTGGTAGACGGCATTGTTGGAGGAACAATTTCTGAGCGCCGCCAATGTAATCATTCCACAGATATGCTGTCTCCTTCTCTCTCTATATCACACAAAGCTAGGTAGATATAGACGTTTTCAACTCCCAAAATTAAATTTTATCATTTCATTCCAGAAAAAAAGTATATTTATGATTAATTATTTCAATTCTTTATTTTCTTTTCTCTAATTTTTTTTGTTCATTCTTCAAATTTAATATTTCGTATATATATAATAATGTTATATGATTTATCAAAAATTTAATACACTGATACTATTTAATTAAATATAACTACAATATATAACATTAATAAATAATTGTTGCAAAATAATAAGGGATGAAATACATTCACAACAAAAATTTTAATGTTTTGTCAAATTTAAAAATGTTCCACATTCCTTACTATTTTTAGTATACCTGTTACTACCCTTAATTATTTTTTTGTTAGTGGTTATGTTGATGTTTCTTTGTTAAAAAATTAGATTTATAATGTTAAAGGTTCATTGATATGCTAAATTCAACATTTTAGTTTTGATTTGACTCACATACTGCATTATTACACAATTTTTGTTCATAAACGCATTCTTGCTTGTTTCTAACTTTGGGCTATCAGTTTCTTTTACTTTCTTTTTCTCATTTTATTTGTAATGTTAAATCAAATTAACTATTTTTTTCTTTACTTATTTTCTTTAATCAATTTTAGTTATGTTTAAATTTAATTTTTTTTGTTTAATAATACTTGTTAGTATAATTTATAAATATATAAATTTTATATACTAATACTAAACGTAATAGGATAAAATTTTCACTACTGGAAATTCTGAAATTTCCGACCACCTGAAAATGATCTTAAATTAAGTTGATACTAAAAAGTCCAAAAAGTGGTCGGAAATAGCAACAAATGTTTTTCCGGATACCAAAAGTGGTCGGAACAAGACTTTCAACTTGATTTAAGATCACTTTCAGGTGGTCGGAAATTTCAGAATTTCCAGTAGTGTTTAAGTGAGACCGTCTCATGAGTCAAAATGTAAAATGTAATAATTATACTAGAAAATATAGTAATAATCAGGGATAAAGTATTTAATTTGTTACTTATAATGATAACGGTAATACTTTTACATTTTGATTAAAAAGTATTATATTTTTCACAAAAGTAATACATTTTTTCTTATAAGTAATAAATATTTTATTTCTAATTAGTATTATATTTTTTCAGTATAAGTATTATACATTTCATATTAACCTGACCCGTCTCAACTCTCAAGGATCTCACAGGAGATTTACTCAACCTAATATTATGAAAGTTTAAATTAAAAATAAATTTAATCAATTTTCATTAATCAAACTAGACACATCAAATGAGACATTGACTCTTAATTTAATTTTTTTTTTTTGGTCGAAGGGAGGGAAAAAAAAGTATGTTAACTTGACTCTTAATTTAATTAATCAAGAAAATAGTATGTAATTATAATTTTTATTCATTTCATTTGTTTCCTGCTACAATAAAATCTAGCACCAAAAAAAAAAAAAATGCTCCCATTTAAAGCAAATAAATATAAAATTGAAAATAAAAAAAAAATTTGAGTCGGGTTAAAATGAAAATGTAATACTAATAAGGAATAAAATGTTTATTATTTATATATGAAAATGTAACACTTTTGAAAAAATAAAAAATTAATACTTTTACATTTTAATGTAAAAGTATTACATTTTCCTCATAAGTATTATATTTTATTTTATAAGTAACAAAACTTGTTAACATTACTTAGAAGGGAATATGTAATATTTTTGATGAAAAATGTAATACTTTACATCAAAATTTAAAATGTAAAAATATTACATTCTTATTTAAGTAACTTAATCAAGACTTTATTCTTGATTAGTATAATATTTTTTAATATAAGTATTATATTTTCATTGATTCGATCCAATATATCTTACACATAAAAATCAATGAGAGCGTGACCTAAAATTGAAAGGGCAGTTTGTATTCTTTCTCAAGTGTCATCTCCGGGGTATAAAAACCCTATATACTACTCTCATCTCAACTGGATTTAAGGTTCAAATTCTTCTTCTACATACCTCCTCTCTACCCGCCGGCCTTCTCTCTTCATTTGTCTACTTAAACCTATCCTTAAAACTACCTACTACTTACCTTATTTTCTTCAAAAATGGAGGATGCTATCAAGAGGCTAAACGGTTTCACGGACAACTCATCGTCTGACCTCATCCCTCCACTTCCCAAGAGATGCGGCGGCGCTGGGAGCAGCCCCACCAATCGGAGGGCGGCGGCGAGGGACGCTGGTTCTGGCGGCGGAATTATAAAGTACCGAGGCGTGCGGCGGCGCCCGTGGGGCCGGTATGCGGCGGAGATCAGAGACCCTCAGTCGAAAGAACGGAGGTGGCTTGGGACGTATGACACGGCAGAGGAAGCTGCGTGCGCTTACGACGCCGCCGCTAGGGCCATGCGTGGGGTTAAAGCCAGAACCAACTTTGTTTATCCGGTTTCGCCGCCGTATCCCTCCGCCGTCGTCAACGGCGTCAGTATCCCTATTTCCGCCTCCCGAGCCAACTTTCCCGCCTTCTTTCCGCCCGTGTTTTCAAGCTTTTCGTCGTCGCACTCTAACCAAACCCCCAATCCTATGTCTCTGTGCGATCATCAAATAGCGTTAATGTTAAACAACGACAATGGTTCCTCTTTCTTGAATGAAATCAGTCAAATCACCGCTCTACAAGCTCGCACTGGTTCCATCTTTAACCCCCCAACTACCCTTTCGTCGTCTTCTCCAACTTCTGCAGATAATAATGGTTGTCCAAACAGCAGCTCCGGCATGGAGTTCTTTGAGTCTCAGCCGCCCAATTCCGGGCTACTTGGAGACGTGTTAAATGGGTTTTTTCCCAAGCCCCAAGCCTCGAAATCAGAGCCGTCCACTTCCGACGCAAAAAAGAAGAGCGTTGACGATCAGAAGGGCCAGTTTGGGATTTGCATTCACGATCACTGCCCCCCCGCCGGAGAGTTTGGGAACTTCAACATTAATAATGGGTTTTCCGGCGGGCTTCCGTTGGAGGACGTATTTGGAGATGCCGGCGTTCAATTATCCAGGGCTTTTTGGTAATTTTACTGCTAAGCTGCGAAATGCTAGGGTGATATGAGGATGGGAAATCTAGTCGATATACTATGTGTCCTTAAATTTCATGTTGTTCAGGATGATGGGAATTTGGTCTTTGTTTTAATTTATGATATATTATGATTATGGATTAATTAGGGAAATCTTGAAATACTAAGTACATTTCCTTGGTACTTTTGAGATAAATATGAATGATTATATTATCCTTGATTGTTGTCGTCATTAATGTGCTGCTTCTTCCCAATGACACTACGTACGTTACGTTAAAATAATGCTTGTTTAGTTTTGGACCTTTTGGTTGCTAGCTTTCAAGTTTTCATACTAGGTATACATAGGCTATTAATTAATACAAGCCCTAACCCCCTAAGGGGTGTTTGGTAATTAATCATTAGTTGATTAGTTGATATCAGGAAGTTATTTGGTAAATTAACAGTTAGTTGATTTCATACAAAATGATTTTTTTTTTAATAGCTAATTGATAAAAAAAAAAAATTGATTTTTGAGTAGCTTTTTGAATTTTAGTGTTTTAGAGCATAAGATATTACAAAAAATAATTAATTGTACATTTATATTGATTGTTTAATCAAGTCAAACAGTTAATAATAGTCAAATAAATTAAAATTAATAAGTTAACTAAGTTACGAAAGAGGGTCTAAGTCTTCTAATTAATTATTAGTTTTTAATTCATACTGCTTAAGTTTTCTTCGGTTAAAAATGTTTAATTAGTTTTAGGTGGAGTTGATTTGAACAGAAAAGGTAGGATCGATTTTAATCTGATCGATCTTGTACATCAAATTACATCTTTAGGTCCTTCATGCTTCTTGGGAATTGGAAAACCTTCTAAGTTTCGAAACACAATTATGTATATTTATTCCTTTTTTTTTTTAAATTAGGTGTGAAATTCATAAGAAACTTTAATTGGATTGGTTAGATTATGAATGTTTTGCATTGCTTAGCTTATTCAAAGGAATTTTTAAAATTATGGATCATGTGTTTGTTGCCACGTCAAATATTATAGTGGGTAATAGGGATGACAATAAATCAGAGTGGGTCAAAATTTATAATGGGTAATAGGGAAGACAATGGATCGGAATGAGTTGAAAAGGGTTACGTCCATCACCCGACTCACTTTGTATTTTCTCAACACATTCCAATCATGATCCGTATTGAATGGACTTTTTAAACACTCATCCAACCCCACCAATGCGGGTTAGCACGGATGCGGATCGTTATGCTGTGCATTCGTATGCACCATGCATGGTGCATACGGATGCAAAAACGACGTTGTTTTATTAAAAATGCGCATCCCACTTAAAAAAAATCAGTTTCGATTTCTCTCATCAGCATTATGTTGTTCATTCATTCTTGAATTTTAGTTCATAAATTCTGGAATTTTAGTTCATTGATTATGGATATTGCGTGAATCGAAACTGATTTTTTTTTTCATTCACGCTGGATATTTAGTTAATTCATTATTGATATTTAGTTCATTTATTATGGATTTTTAGTTCATTCATTCTGGAATTTTAGTTCATAGATTCTAAAATTTTAGTTCATAGATTCTGGAATTTTAGTTCATCGATTTTGAAATTTTAGTTCAAATTATGCACAATATAATGTTGTTGCTAGAAATCGAAACTGATTTTTTTTTTTTTTTTTTGTAACTAAGACGCGTGTTTTTAATAAAAGGACGTCGTTTTTGCATCCGTATGCACCATGCATGGTGCATACGGATGCACAACATAATTTGCCCGCGGATGCCTACTATGAATACCCACAACAAAAATTGTTTGAAAAAATTTTAATTAACTACAAATTAATATTTATTTTACTATTATATATATACACACTCATACACATGGTGCGATTCTAGGTTGATTTTGTACATAAAACCTGAATCTAATCCAACCTATTGCAGATTTAATTTTTTAAGATCCATCTCCAATCCACCATCCACTATATATTACATTATTATTTAAAAAACTCCATCCATGCAAAGTGAATTGGGGTGGATATTTGCGAGACAAATTAAAATTGTGATTTCCAGTGGGTAGCAAAGGTATACTTTTATTTGTTTATACCATTAGATTTTTGTAAAAGTTACTGAACTCGAGTTTGAACTTGATCCTTATTCAAAACAAAGTATTAAGTATAGTTACAAATTAAAGAAGAAAATGAAATAAAGTGATGGGAGATGAAAGTTATAGGGCGGGACCCAAGTGTTTCCAAGAGGCTAAACGGTTTCACAGACAAGTAGACATTTCTTCTGACCTCATCCTCCTCTATCCAAGATATGCGCCGCCACCGTCATTCCCACCACTGTCTGCAACCGCCCCGGCCCCACCATTCATACCGCACGCTCACCTCCTTCATTTGCTTCTTCTTTCTTCTTCATCTCATCATATCCCCCAAGCTCCACCCGGCATGGACGACTTAGCCCAAATTAAAGCCCTAAAATCTAAGCCATAAGTGATAACGCAAGCAAAGCAAAGCAAAGAAATGTATGTTTTGATCAGAAGGGCCAGTTTGGGGCCGGGTGGGTTTGCATTCATAGCTGCCAGGTTTGAACTTGTTGGGTAGAGGCAAGTGAAAGTCTAATATTCAGTGATTAAGGGATTGTTAGACAAGAGGCTGATAAATAGCTTAAAAGGTCAAATTCAACAGACGTTTTAAAAATATGTAGGGATATAAAAAAAAGTAAAGTTACACTACTATTACAAGCTATAACTTTTGGTATAGTAATAAACGTTTAATCTAACAACTGGTATCACAGTACCAATTGGTGATAGGAAAGGAATTGTTCGACGATGATCGGTAAAGCCCAAGTCTAACATGTGACTTGAGAATTGTTGGACGAAAGTCGGTAAAGGTTTATAAGGTCAAGTTCATACTCAGCATCTCAAAAATGTATGATGATATAAGGAAATAAAGTCGCATCTTCACTATAAATAATAACTTTTAGGCGTAACAGTAAATCTTTGATCCAAATAAAATTGCATGCATCTGGGAATAAGGGTCAATTAGGCCACTGAACTGCACACGAAAATGCAATTAGGCCACTGAACCTAAAAAAATCTACAATTGGGTCCCTAAACTAACGAATTTCATTCAATTTGTCTATTTTTCAAGTTTCTCAAGTTGCTAACAAGTTACCCCTCCACCTAGGATGCTTATGTGGATTTTTTTTTAAAAATAAGTTATTTTTAAATTAGTTTTTTTTAATGTTTAATAAATGAAAACTAAAATAATTTATTTTTAAATTAGTCTTTTAATGCTTAATAAAATAATTTGTATTTGTTTAAAATTCGCAAATCACCAATACAAACTAATTATTTTAAAATTCAAAACTCACTAAATCATGATAGTTTGAACTTTCGATTAAATAATTTGTTAATTGTTTTATTTGTTCCAGGCCACGATACAGTAATTGAATTATATTATACATTTGGCGGTAATTGAATTATTTTAATACTTACACATTAGCAGTACTATTGTTAGATTGAAAAAGTAAAATATATTATGCATATCTAATTTGAAAGGGTGCTGTGATGAAGTCTGTGAGAAGTCTTCCTGCGATTAATCTCTTTGACCTAAACAAGGAATCCGATGGTTTAATAGGAAACAAATTAGTAAATTAAATTATTTTGGTTTTTATTTATTAAACATTAAAAAACTACTTTAAAAAATATATATATTTTTTAAAAATGCCACATATGCATCTTAGGTGGAGAGGTAACTTGTTAGCAACTTGGAGAAACTTGAAAAATGGACAAATTGAATAAAATTGGTTAGTTTAGGGACCCAATTGTATATTTTTTTAATTCAATGGCCTAATTGTATTCTCATGTGCAATTCAGTAACCTATTTGACCCTTATTCCCATGCATCTGCGGTTTTGTTTTGAGCATTAGTTTGCAGCCGACGATGACTGCTAAGCTGCCAAATGCCCAAATGCACGAAGAATGTAATTATTAACGTTGCAAAACTTTAATTTTCATGTTGTAGAGAATTTGGTTTTTGCTTTTCAATATATTATGATTATGATTACCGTCCAAATTAATGAGAGTAATTAATGGGGGAGGAATTGAATTGTGAATCTTGAAATACTAAACTAATTAATTTCCTTCATATTTGTACTTTGAAATGAATATGCATGATTATATGCTGGCGCCGTTGCGTTGCCATTATTAATGCTTTGCTTCCTCCCTATGATAGTTAGAAGAACAGCCAATCAAGGCAAATTATGCCACACAAAATTGGATTCATAATTTTTATACTATAAATTAATAATTTCTACACTATAAATTCATAATTATTACACAATTATAAAACTCTATGTTCATAATTTTCAATGTTTATATTTCCAATTGTTGAATCCTGTATTCACAAATCACTGAACTATATGTTCATAATTTGATAATTATAAAGTTTAGAAATTATAAATCTACAATTTAAAAATTATAAATCTATAGTATAGAAATTATGAATCTAATTCCGCACATTGCATGGGGCACACAGTTGCACAGCATAACGCTACGCCAATCAAACTAAGTCAATCTTACTAGAGCTATATATTTCACTTGATAAAGGTTTTGATAATTTAGTTTTGTTTGCTTTCAAATTCAAAGTTAATTAGAATTTTTTTAGTAGTAATGAAGCTCGCAAGTCAATATTGAGAGTGTGAATTATTGGATAATAAAATTAAGATATTTTTTTTGGAAAAAAATTAAGATATTTAGATATTAAGTTTGATAGGGTAGTTCGTTGAAAATACATTGTAGTTATGATGAGGATTAGTATTTCTGAATAATCATAATACTAAGTCTGAACTAGAGTATAAGAATACTAGACTACGAGTCCTATTACAATATGACTATTAATAATAATAAACACTCCCCTTCAAACACAAAGTTGATAGGAAAACTTGTCCCGCAGTAGAGCAAAACGTGGACCAGGCAATGCTTTGGTGAAGACATCCACTATCTGATC